TGGTAGCCTGTCTACATCGAATGTTTTTGGTGGCATCAGAGATGTTGCTTAATCATATGTACATTTCAGGTAGCATAAGAATCAGACACATTTCCTGTCTACATTGGCATGTCAGGAGGCATCAGACACATTTCCTGTCTACATTGGCATTGCAGGAGTAATCAGACACATTTCCTGTCTATATTGACATTTCCGGAGGCATCAGAAATATTTTCTGTCTACATTGACATGTCAGGAGGAATCAGACACATTTCCTGTCTACATTGACATGTCAGGAGGAATCAGACACATTTCCAGTCTATATTGACATTTCCGGAGGAATCAGACACATTTCCTGTCTACATTGGCATTGCAGGAGTAATCAGACACATTTCCTGTCTATATTGACATTTCCGGAGGCATCAGAAATATTTTCTGTCTACATTGACATGTCAGGAGGAATCAGACACATTTCCTGTCTACATTGACATGTCAGGAGGAATCAGACACATTTCCTGTCTACATTGGCATTGCAGGAGTAATCAGACACATTTCCTGTCTATATTGACATTTCCGGGACATCAGACACATTTTCTGTCTACATTGACATGTCAGGAGGAATCAGACACATTTCCTGTCTATATTGACATTTCCGGAGGAATCAGACACATTTCCTGTCTACATTGACATGTCAGGAGACTCAGACACATTTCCTGTCTACATTGGCATTGCAGGAGTAATCAGACACATTTCCTGTCTACATTGACATGTCAGGAGGAATCAGACACATTTCCTGTCTACATTGACATGTCAGGAGGAATCAGACACATTTCCTGTCTATATTGACATTTCAGGAGGAATCAGACACATTTCCTGTCTACATTGACATTTCAGGAGGCATCAGACACATTTCCTGTCTACATTGACATTTCAGGAGGCATCAGACACATTTCCTGTCTACATTGACATGTCAGGAGACTCAGACACATTTCCTGTCTATATTGACATGCCAGGAGGAATCAGACACATTTCCTGTCTATATTGACATTTCAGGAGGCATCAGACACATTTCCTGTCTATATTGGCATTGCAGGAGTAATCAGACACATTTCCTGTCTCTATTGACATGCCAGGAGGCATCAGACACATTTCCTGTCTATATTGACATTTCAGGAGGCATCAGAAACATTTTCTGTCTCTATTGACATGTCAGGAGACTCAGACACATTTCCTGTGTATATTGACATGTCAGGAGACTCAGACACATTTCCTGCCTATATTGACATTTCAGGAGGCATCAGAAACATTTTCTGTCTACATTGACATGTCAGGAGGCATCAGACACATTTCCTGTCTACATTGGCATTGCAGGAGGCATCAGACACATTTCCTGTCTACATTGGCATTGCAGGAGGAATCAGAAACATTTTCTGTCTACATTGACATGTCAGGAGGAATCAGACACATTTCCTGTCTATATTGACATGCCAGGAGGCATCAGACAAATTTCCTGTCTATATTGACATGCCAGGAGGAATCAGACACATTTCCTGTCTATATTGACATTTCAGGAGGCATCAGACACATTTCCTGTCTATATTGGCATTGCAGGAGTAATCAGACACATTTCCTGTCTCTATTGACATGCCAGGAGGCATCAGACACATTTCCTGTCTATATTGACATTTCAGGAGGCATCAGACACATTTCCTGTGTATATTGACATGTCAGGAGACTCAGACACATTTCCTGTCTACATTGACATTTCAGGAGGCATCAGAAACATTTTCTGTCTACATTGACATGTCAGGAGGCATCAGACACATTTCCTGTCTACATTGGCATTGCAGGAGGCATCAGACACATTTCCTGTCTACATTGGCATTGCAGGAGGAATCAGAAACATTTTCTGTCTACATTGACATTGCAGGAGGCATCAGACACATTTCCTGTCTACATTGACATTTCAGGAGGCATCAGAAACATTTTCTGTCTACATTGACATTTCAGGAGGCATCAGACACATTTTCTGTCTACATTGACATTTCAGGAGGCATCAGACACATTTCCTATCTACATTGACATGTCAGGAGGAATCAGACACATTTCCTGTGTATATTGACATGCCAGGAGGCATCAGACACATTTCCTGTCTATATTGACATGCCAGGAGGAATCAGACACATTTTCTGTCTATATTGACATGTCATGAGGCATCAGACACATTTTCTGTCTACATTGACATGTCAGGAGGAATCAGAAACATTTTCTGTCTACATTGACATTGCAGGAGGCATCAGACACATTTTCTGTCTACATTGACATGTCAGGAGGAATCAGACACATTTCCTGTCTATATTGACATGCCAGGAGGCATCAGACACATTTCCTGTCTATATTGACATGCCAGGAGGAATCAGACACATTTCCTGTCTATATTGACATGTCAGGAGGAATCAGACACATTTCCTGTCTACATTGGCATGTCAGGAGGCATCAGACACATTTCCTGTCTACATTGGCATTGCAGGAGTAATCAGACACATTTCCTGTCTATATTGACATTTCCGGAGGCATCAGAAATATTTTCTGTCTACATTGACATGTCAGGAGGAATCAGACACATTTCCTGTCTATATTGACATGTCAGGAGGAATCAGACACATTTCCTGTCTAAATTGACATGTCAGGAGGAATCAGAGTCATTTCCTGTCTATATTGGCATTTCGGAGTTATCTGAGAATTTTCCGGAAGTACATAAATCATCCTTCGTTTAGACTGACAGTCATGAATTTATCCGAACCATTGATTTCTGGTGTATATTGACATTTGTCAAAGTTTCCAAGAAGTTACTGATTGTCCGTATTGACCTTTCCTAAATGTTTTGTCGAAATATTAAATACTAGCTTTCCCCCAAAAAAGAGGTAATTCAATTGTTTTTACCAGGGTACCAAACTCGTCAGTTCTTACTAGTTGTTTTTATTCTGTTTTATCAATTGTTCGCTTTTGTTCTTTAACATTGATATTTCCTGGAAGTACCAGACTCTAAATTCTCTCTTTACACTAATAATTGTTTTACAGTAACAGACCTTGCCTTGACTTACAATGATTTTTACCATTGATTGCCCACCTGTTTAGATATTTGGTGTCCATCTATTAGATAATTGGAGAGTTTTTCTATATCCTTATCATCTAGTGTATTGAACCATGTTGCGATTGGAATCACAATCACGTGACCAATTGTCTAGAATAATGTCCATTCCTGATTATTCCAAATCTAGCCTATACCTCAGTCGGGAAATTAACAGAGCCAATCGTTACAAACATTTCCGTGACCATTAAATCTGTTTCATCATTACGCTCCTCTTCCGGTTGAATGGAGGAAATTAATTCTGGGCATGTCTGCTTGTTGTCCGAGATTCATTTCTTTATTTGGATACACAATAATTATCTTGCATGCCTAGTACAAGATGATGTACGATACCTAAATATATAAGGAATGCAGTGAACGACCGCATGTCTTTGTGTCTAAAAGATTGATTGTAATGTGAGAACATTTGTCGCGAACGTTTGGCGATATTGATTGTTTTGTAGTGTGTTGGTTGGATACAGAAACGAAGGTCATGATTTTAGAACTTAACATCCCAAATAGATTCAAGTATAGAATGAGCTGCCAGGATATCAGGGGGCTGAGGAACGTTCTTATTGTAGGCGAACAAAAGGATTTTCGGGATTTAGGGATTTTCAGGTCCCTACAGGTCGAAAGTTATCAAAGCTTTGGGACTTAACTTTCCTGTAGTGGTAGGATAAAGAAATTCTCTCATGATGTCTAGCATTCATGTCCCTATAGTGGTTTGGTTGAATACGTGTTATCAAGGTTGCAGGACTTCCTACAGTGGTTGGATATTCAAAGGGTTATTAAACGTGAAATAATCGGAACGTCTCTGCAATGGTTGAATAAAAAGAATGTTAATGTGTATTCATTCCTAGGTGACGATCTATAAACACTGGCGTCCTGTTCGATTCCTGTGCTTCCAGATTCTACGTCTAAGTTGCCCTGATACTCCACTGCATTGTGTGTCCTGGAGGAATTTGGTTTTTGTCTACAGTGCTGTCCCAGAAATCTATCACATGCCTCCTTAACTCAATTTTTTGGGTTTTTTTTTTTTTTTGTTTTTTGGTTTTTTTTTGTCTATTCATGATTATCAATTATCATTCAGACCTAATATATGTATGTGTTCTATAACATTAAAGCAATTCACATAGTATTTTAGATATTGTTGAGATACCTCTTTCCGAAAACTAAAATCACACTGAGTGCTTAAAAAGTGTTTCGGGATTCAACATACATAAAGTGTGCTTGATAAAGAAACGTTTATCAGGGATTCGGTACGTTACGATAATATAGAGAAAAGAGAATAGAATTATGCAGGGTTTCGAAATTTCATGCTCCCACGCTGGTCGGATAAAACAAGCTCCTCTACTGGTCATATAAAAAGCCGTTACGGGTACAGAAAGGACTATAAAAGACTTGAGGAAAACTTCGCTCATGTATAAAATTCACTATGTGATCTCTTGGATTTTTGCAATGGATTGGATTCTAAACTTAACCAAATTGCGCAATAAGGAATTCATAGTGGTATTAATTGTGAACCGCACAGCAATAATGCGTGGAATGACCCCAGGAAATTTACAGTTAAATGTATATGTTATAAGGCAAATGTATATGTTTTCATATATTTCATAGAATATTGTTAAAACCAAATGATATTTATTAAAGCAAATCTTTTTTTAAAGGCAGATGATTCACTTAAAAAGGCAAACGATCCACATAAAATGGTAGATGATCCACAGAAAAAGGCAGATAACCGAAAAATAAACTTCATGCAAACACTACGAAGCAAAATCAAAGCATACCTGAGACGATGATCATATAACGCTGCCATCAAGCTTGTGATTAGAAAAAAAAGATGGCTGACTGAAGCACCACACGAAGTATCTAAACTAAATAAATATGATACCTTTGACCGCTATATATATTGTACTCGAGGACGAACCTTCGTCGTTTTCCGCCCTACACCGGTATGAAGCTTCGTCTTTTTTCGTGACTTTCCGGATAACGAGTGAATACTCTCCGGCCTCGCCCGGCTCTATATTTATACGAGAATTGTCGATGATCTGTTCACCGTCCTTGTACAGGGTGAGGGAGGGTTTGGGAAAGGCAACCACTTTGCAGGTGAAACTTACGGTGGACCCTTCATCCACTGTCTCCTCACCACACAACCGTTTTACAAATTCTGGTGCTGAAACAGGGAAAACAGGAAGTCAGGCAAAGGTAACACAAGGGTAAAAGAGCAGGGCAAGGTCATTTAAAGCATGCAATTTACTAAAATAAAAATCTTTAAGTCACCGAGAAAACTGCATATATCATCAAGGAAGCAGCAGACTGTAAAAAGGTTACTGAAGTCGACCGTTTTTCGCTTGTATGAACAATCGCTTCACAGTAGCTACAGAAAACACAACGTATCAACTACTAGACAAATACGTGGACATACTAGAGCGTAGGTCAGTCAACACAGAAATATTCACGCACATGTTGTGTTGTGTTCACACAGGGATACAATGCAATTTTTTTAATCTTTTGCGTCTGAGCTGAAATTGATAAGCAGATCCCGGATATTCCAAGGGAGATAAGAACGTAAAATCTCACGTGACATGTGGACTTTGAATGTTTTTGTTTTATTGACAAGTATTGATATGTAAATGATATACAATGTTATGTGTTGTATGGAGATCGACGTTTTTCATCACTTTGACTGATATTAGCCTTCAATTTGATGTTAAAACGCTGCTCAGATCCTAAGATATGGCAAAACTGTAAACACGTGCTTTCTAAAAACATGTTAATACCCAGGCAACATGCTTTATTCTATAGTTAACGTATTACAAAATACTCCGCGCGTGTTTACGTCTGACACCATACCTATAAACATCCTGTGCGCTGTTTGTAAAATATAACGGTTTCCATGGCAACGTTGCGCGATAGAAGATATACAGTTGAATGCAGACGGAGACTTAGCTAACCTGCCTGGTACATACAGCAACACGTGGGAGATTTTTCCCTTTGTTCTCGTCCACGACATGGATGACTGATCTATTGTACAACGTTTAATGCAATTGCCGTACATTTTGTGTATTATCAGAATATAATTGAATATATATTTATCAAGAAGGGCTCTAAAATCGAAAAGGGTAGTTTGGAAATATTAAGACATTTACGTTGTTGTCTATTAAACTTAGTCATTAATGTAAAGGGGTTGTCATGGGAACCGATGCTAAAAGTTTTCGATTTGTAAGAACATACGTTTAAGATTGAATATATATGTAATCAGGAGTATATAATAAACCGTTTATATATATATAGATAACTTTTACTTATATCAATAGCTTTTTACTCAGAGAGAGTTTCCAGATGAAATTATCACGGTATAAACAGGGAGGGGAACACCATCATATGTGTGATATGGACACACAGTGGGGAACCCTTTAGGGTATACATAAATACAAGTATTATTCGTTATCATAGCAGATATATTGCTTTTCTTGGGATTTCTACTGAGGTATCTTAATAATTCTTCTATCTGTACTGGTCACCACAAGAACCGTTAGAACTACAATGTTTGTGTGTGAAAGTAAGCATGATTTTACACCAGATCACGATGTGGAGGTCTATATATATATCTACCAGTTAGGACCGGAAATATAGACAAAAGGAACTCTTTTATAGTTTGTTCTCCAAGGGACATAACTTATCAAGGAAGTTCGCCATTACTGTTGTACAGTACGATCTAAACTTCAATAATATACATTGTTATCATAATCCACGTTATTTGATATAAAACGTATATTGGCAAACAAACAAAACTACAGCGTCCTTTATACGAGGGAAACAGGAGAACTTTAGGGTAATGTTGTGTGTGTTCCTTAAGGGAGATGATGATAATCCTTGAGAGCAATTAATGCACCTCAAAAAAGAGTCCAGTAAGTGGACGTAGTGTTAAGTAAGGTGTAACAAAATGACTGACGTTTAAGTGTGTGTATGACATGTCCGCACGCTCAGTTGTTTTATATATATATACCTTCGTATTGTAGTATACATTTTTAGGAAACCGAAATGAACAAAATATTGCTATATTAGTAGGCGTGTAATCGAAATAGGGTATTTGTTACCATACGTAACATATAGGTACACAAACGAGACGGTAACATGACGTAACATATAGGTACACTACTAACGAGATGTTACCATACGTAACATATAGGTACACTAACGAGATGTTAACATGACGTAACATATAGGTACACTAACGAGACGGTAACATGATGTAACATATAGGTGCACTAACGAGATGTTAACATGATGTAACATATAGGTACACTAACGAGATGTTAACATGACGTAACATATAGGTACACTAACGAGATGGTAACATGACATAACATATAGGTGCACTAACGAGATGTTAACATGACGTAACATATAGGTACACTAACGAGATGTTAACATGACGTAACATATAGGTGCACTAACGAGATGTTAACATGACGTAACATATAGGTGCACTAACGAGATGTTAACATGACGTAACATATAGGTGCACTAACGAGATGTTAACATGACGTAACATATAGGTACACTAACGAGATGTTAACATGACGTAACATATGGGTACACTAACGAGATGTTAACATGACGTAACATATAGGTGCACTAACGAGATGTTACCATGACGTAACATATGGGTACACTAACGAGATGTTAACATGACGTAACATATAGGTGCACTAACGAGATGTTAACATGACGTAACATATAGGTGCACTAACGAGATGTTAACATGACGTAACATATAGGTACACTAACGAGACGGTAACATGATGTAACATACGGGTTCACTAACGAGATAGTAACATGTTTTAACATACGGGTACACTAACGAGATGGTAACATGATGTAACATATAGGTGCACTAACGAGATGTTAACATGACGTAACATATAGGTGCACTAACGAGATGTTAACATGACGTAACATATAGGTGCACTAACGAGATGTTAACATGACGTAACATATAGGTGCACTAACGAGATGTTAACATGACGTAACATATAGGTGCACTAACGAGATGTTAACATGACGTAACATATGGGTACACTAACGAGACGGTAACATGACGTAACATATGGGTACACTAACGAGACGGTAACATGATGTAACATACGGGTTCACTAACGAGATAGTAACATGTTTTAACATACGGGTACACTAACAAGATGGTAACATGATGTAACGTATGGGTTCACTAACGAGATAGTAACATGTTTTAACATACGGGTACACTGACGAGATGTTAACATGACATAACATATAGGTACACTATCGAGATGTTAACATGACGTAACATATAGGTGCACTAACGAGATGTTAACATGACGTAACATATAGGTGCACTAACGAGATGTTAACATGACGTAACATATAGGTGCACTAACGAGATGTTAACATGACGTAACATATGGGTACACTAACGAGACGGTAACATGATGTAACATACGGGTTCACTAACGAGATAGTAACATGTTTTATCATACGGGTACACTAACGAGATGGTAACATGATGTAACATATGGGTACACTAACGAGATGGTAACATAATGTAACATATAGGTCCACTAACGAGTTAGTAACATGTTGTAACATACTGGTAAACTAACGAGACGGTAACATGACGTAACATACTGGTACACTAACAAGACGGTAACATGACATAACATATAGGTACACTAACAAGATGGTAAAATGATGTAACATATAGGTACACTAACGAGACGGTAACATGACGTAACATATAGGTACACTAACGAGATGGTAACATGATGTAACATATAGGTACACTCACGAGATAGTAACATGATCTAACATATGTGTACACTAACGAGATGGTAACATGACGTAACATATAGGTACACTAACGAGACGGTAACATGATGTAACATACGGGTACACTAACGAGATAGTAACATGATGTAACATATAGATACACTAACGATATGGTAACATGATGTAACATATAGGTACACTAACGAGACGGTAACATGATGTAACATACTGGTAAACTAACGAGATGGTAACATGATGTAACATACGGGTACACTAACGAGATGGTAACATGATGTAACATACGGGTACACTAACAAGACGGTAACATGATGTAACATACGGATACACTAACGATATGGTAACATGATGTAACATATGGGTACACTAACGAGTTGGTAACATGATGTAACATACGGGTACACTAACGAGATGGTAACATGATGTAACATACGGGTACACTAACGAGATGGTAACATGATGTAACATATGGGTACACTAACAAGACGGTAACATGATGTAACATATGGGTACACTAACGAGACGGTAACATGATGTAACATACGAGTAAACTAACGAGACGGTAACAGGATGTAACATACGGGTACACTAACGAGACGGTATAATGATGTAACACACGGGTACACTAACGAGACGGTAACATGATGTAAAATATGGGTTCACTAACGAGATGTTAACATAATGTAACTTGTAGGCATACTAATGAGATGGTAACATGATGTAACATATAGGTACACTAACGAGACGGAAACATGATGTAACATATGGGTTCACTAAAGAGATGTTAACATAATGTAACTTATAAGCACACTAATGAGATAGTAACATAATGTAACTTATAGGCACACTAATGAGATGGTAACATGATGTAACATATAGGCACACTAATGAGTTGGTAACATAATGTAACATACAGGCACACTAACGAGATAGTAACATAATGTAACTTATAGGCACACTAATGAGATGGTAACATGATGTAACATATAGGTACATTAACGAGATAGTAACATGATGTAACATACGGGTACACTAACGAGATAGTAACATGATGTAACATATAGGCACACTAATGAGATGGTAACATGTTGTAACATATGGGTTCACTAACGAGATGGTAACATGATGTAACATATAGGCACACTAATGAGTTGGTAACATAATGTAACATACAGGCACACTAACGAGATGGTAACATGATGTAACATATAGGCACACTAATGAGATGGTAACATGTTGTAACATACGGGTACACTAACGAGATAGTAACATGATATAACATATAAGTACACTAACGAGATGGTAACATAATGTAACATACAGGTACACTAACGAGACGGTAAC